GGGCACTCTGGAAGCTCTAGCCACTAAAGCACTTTGGACTGGTCAAGGACGAGGAGGAAGAAGAGGAACAACCCATCAGTTTTGTTTTATACAAGTCTTGCCATCAATAACAGATTACATTGAACACAAGACGCTACCATATGATCATCTATGCCAAAAATTTAGCATCTGGCTAATGCATTAGCTCATATCTTCAACTCTAACCCTAAAAATAAACACTAGCTACAATGGCTTCTAACCCTGATAACAAAAATAATTTTTATACAACCTCTTAGCTCCCATGGTCTTTAAAACAATCTCCGTAAGACCATAATTCTAATCAAAACGCAAACATCCCCAGAAATGCCACAAAAATCTTCAAACTAAAATTTAGCTGAACCCTCAAAATCTAACCACATAATTTCGAGCATAATATATCTCACGTTCGCAACCATACCTCAGTATTCGAAATTGCCGAGGAAAAAAATTATATCAGATTTCGATAATTACTAAACAAAGTCATAATTATAGATCGAATGGCTAGAAATGAGACGTACCGAGATGAAACTGATGGCCGCATTGAAGCTTAGCCCACGATCTACCCCCATTATCGGTAACAGCCTCCAGGCAGATCGAGCACGACACCGAAGATGCTGCTTTGCCTTCATCTCCACCCCCATCGTTCAGAAGATCCGCATCATCCAACCCCATATTCACAAACCCTAATTAATTAATAAACTTACATAGTCTATAAATTATAGAAAGCTTCGATCTCAAAGCCTGATTAGGAATTGAAGAGAGGTTGGAAAATGTGCGGTAATTGCAGTATGGGAAGAGAGAACTTTCAAAATGTGGTGTAAACACGGAACCTCTTCGCTTTGGACAGTTTCTTTCTCTGTTTTCCTCCCACCTCACCGCCTGTTTTACGGCCGTCGGATTTGCGATGGTTTTTGGATCATAAGATACTGGTCACCGCGAATTGAAATTTGGAGTAAATTTTAGTTTGGATAAATTACATCCGAACCAGCTGAGCTTTATCAATTGAACACATAGACCCTCTCAGATATGACATATTATACAAACACCCCTTTTGTACGACTAGAACACATATACACTACCGGTATGAGCTGTGTGGAAAGCTATCAAAATTTGAATCACGTCAGCATATTTAAATAATCAAATTCCCAAAATACATCTATTAAATTGGCAAGTAATAATCCAGTTAATTCTATGTCAATTATCTACCTATCTATTTAAATAATCTATAATCTATAATCAATAATAATTTCAATTCCAATGCCCTTATACTCCCTTCCTTCACCAACACAAGTGTCGGCATTCCTTTCTTTCCTCACCATTCCCGTCATTACAACTACCGAAATTCACCTCCTCCAAACTAAATCCAAATCCATCTAAATTTCACTCCAAACACATCCCACCATAGTGCAAATCTCCACCCAAAACCAATCTAAATCCGTAAAATACAATTGCCTGTAGATATATGCAACCAATTATAGAGAGAGAGGGGCCCAAAAAACTTAGCGATAGAGAGGCAAACAAAACTCGTATCAATTTCAATTTGCTCCTCTTTCTCTTCTTCACTACAATTTTATCATCATCACCGTGGATTAGCACCATTACTTAGGGTTTGTTTGATGATATTTTGATTAAGTTTTTTTGTTCAAGTGATGGGTCTAGTCGTTACCATCGAAGGATCAATGATGGTTTTTTGTGGTGGCTATGATAATGAGGTGATGGATGTAATGATGGCCATGGGGGTGCGACTATGGTTGGTTAGGTAAGTAGGGACAGTTGGCGATAGAACAGACACACATAGGTGGTGTATATATATGAGTAGTACAATAGGAGAAATGGGTGTGGGTGAGTTTTAGGCTGGCTATGGAGGACAATGGTGGTCTGAATGGTGAAGTGATGAGTTGTGGGTGAAAAGGTTGGTGGTGGTAATTAACTACAAAAAGGAATTAAAGTAGTGGAGAAATAGAAAGGCAACAGAAAGTGGGTGGATGGCGTTGGTATAGTGATTAACGAGGAAAGGGGCTGAAGGCAATGGAGAGACACAAAAATCGAAGAAGTGGGTATGCTTGGATCTGGGCTTGGTTCAAGTTACAGTAGGGTATAGTTTTTGGGCTTTTGGTTAGACTGACCTTATTTGATTTTAAACAAGGGGGAAATAGTGATTTTAGAACTTCTATTAGGTGTGTTAGCTATCTGTTACTAATAAGGGTTGTCAATGTAATATGTCATATCTGAAGGATTGACTCAAATTTTAGAGAAACTTCTCACTTTCTCTTTTGCGTTGTATCATACGACTATAAGAACTATTGAATCAAATAATGTGATGAGCTCAAAACTCACTAATCCAAAAAGTTTTATATTTTTGGCATGACCAACTAGGTCACCTAGGGTTAATAATGACGCATCAGATCATCGATAGCTCATATGAGCATCCATTAAAGAACTAAAATATTCTTTTGCCTAGTGATTATCTATGTACTACATGCTCACAAGGTAAATTAATTATTAGACCATATCCTATAAAGGTCAATATTGAATACTCAACTTTTCTTCAACGAATTCAAGAGGATATGTGTGGACTTATTCATCCATCAAGTGATCCATGTTGTTATTTTATGATCTTGATAGATGCATCAACAAGGTGGTCACATGTCTATTTACTATCTACTTGGAACATTACTTTTGCTCGTTTCCTTGCCCAAATAATTTGATTGCGGGTGCAATTCCCAAATTATTCCATCAAAACAATTTGTCTTCGTAATGCTGGTGAATTTACATCCCAAAACATTTGACAATTATTGTAGGTCTGTCGGGATTGATGTTAAGCATCCAATGGCTTGCACTCATACCCAAAATGGTCTAGTTGAGTCTTTTATCAAAAGACTTTAATTGATTGTAAGACATTTACTTATGAGGACAAAGTTACCTATTTCTGTTTGGGGACATGTCATTCTATATGCAGCCACCTTAGTTCATATTCGACCAAGTATCTACTATCAATATATCCCTTCACAACTTATATTTGGTCAACCCCCAAATATTTCTCATCTACGGACTTTTAGTTGTGTTGTACATGTCCCAATTGCACCCCCACATCGTATTAAATTGGGTCCTCAATGTTGATTGGGAATATACATTGGGTATGATTCACCTTAAATCATAAGGTATCTTGAACCTTTGACAGGTGACGTTTTTACAGTAAGATTTGCGGATTGTCATTTTAATGAGACACACTTCCCATCATTAGGAGGAGACAATTCGCCACTTGAAGTTTGATATGAATTCTTTTGGTAAGTGCAATCTATGTTCCATTTTGATCCATATACTTCTCAATATGAAACTAAAGTACAAAGAATCATACATCTACAAAAAATTGTTAATTGGCAACTTGATGCATTTGCTGATACAACAAAAGTAACCAAATCATATATATCCCCTATAAATACTCTGGCAAAGATTGATATTCCAAGAGGAAAACCTATGGCAGCAAATGAATCGTCAGTTGCATGCTTGAAACGTGGACGGCCCATAAGTTCGAAAGATTTAGCTCCTTGGAAGAGGAGAACAAAAAATCAATTATATACGACTCCAAAAGAAGTTGTTGAAAACCAAAATGAACTCACATTATCTCAAATAATACCTCCTAAAGAGGAAAAATTCATTGAAGATGCACATACTCCTAAAGAGAAACATAATCCTGAAGAGATACAAACTCCTGAAGAGATATAGATATCTGCTAATAAAGAAATTTCTATTAATTATGCATGAATAAGAGAAATGTGGGATTGCAGAGATATGGTTATAAATGATATATTCTCTTTTTTAGTAGCTACTAAAATCTTAAATGATGATAATCTCGAACCACGCTCTATAAATAAATGTCAGTCTAGACATGATTGGTCAAACTGGAAAAAAAAAAAGCTTGGAGTGTTTGGATCTGCAGTCTTAACACCTGGTGACATAAAACTAGTTGGTTATTAATGGGTATTCGTTAGAAAAAAAATGATAAAACCGAGATCGCAAGATATAAATCACATTTAGTGGCACAAGGATTCCTATAGACACCCATAATTGATTATGATAAAACATATTTACTAGTAATGGATGTCATTATATTTCGATACTTAATTAGTTTGGTAGTCTCAGAAAAACTGGACATGCATCTTATGGATGTAGTTACCACATATTTATATTTAATCTTAGATGTTGATATTTATATGAAAGTCCTTGAATGACTGAAATTACCTGAAGCAAATACTTTAAAACCACGAAGTACGTACTCAATCAAATTGAAACGATCTTTGCATGAATTAAAGCAATATGGCAAAATGTGGTATCATTGCCTCAGTGAGTATTTGGTAAAAAAAGGGTATGTTAATAATCTCATATGCCCGTGTGTATTTATAAAAAGGTCAGATTATGAATTTGCTATTATTGTAGTATATGTTGATAATATGAATCTGATTGGAACTCTTGAAGAGTTAATAAAAGTTGTTGAATATTTTAAAAGAGAATTTGAGGTGAAAGATCTTGGGAAAACAAAATATTGTTTCGGTCTACAAATCAAGCATACATCCAAAGGAATCCTTATTCATCAAACATATTCTACGTTATCTTCGTGGAATTACATATTTGAGCTTGGTATATTTAAATAAATCAGTCAATGGTCCAAATGTAGTAGGATTTGTAGATTTTGGATATCTCTCTGATCCCCACAAGGCTTGTTCACAAATTAGGTATGTATTCACATGTGGTGATACATCAATCTCATGGTGATCTATAAAACAAACTTTGATTGCTACATTCTCTAATCATTCTGAAATACTAGCACTCTATGAAGCAAGTCATGAGTGTATATGGCTGAGATCTATAGTTCATTACATTCAAAGTACATGTGGACTCTCTTCAACTATAGATTCTTCAACAATGATGTATGAAGATAATGCTGCTTGTATTGCACAAATCAAAGGAGGATTTATTAAAGGTGACAAAATCAAGCATACATCACCAAAGTTCTTCTATACTCATGAACTCTAGTAGAGTCATGAAATTGAAGTAAAACAGATATGATTGGGTGATAATCTTGCATATCTATTCATTATAGCTCTACCTTGCTCAACATTCAAAAAGTTAATATATGACATCAAAATGCGTTAGGTTTGTGATGAGTTCAATTGATTTTTTTATCAGGGGGAGAATCTCATCAGGGGGAGCATTTTTCGGCACATTGTACTCTTTTATACTTTGTCTAGGTTTTTTCCCACTAGGTTTTACTGGTAAGGTTTTAATGAGGCAACATTCGTGCACCTAAAACAATTTTTTTTAAGGATAGTGGTCATCCAAGGGGGAGTGTTGTAAATGTCACACTTAGAAAAGAGTTGGATGACCTCCATTTAAACTATCCCTCTTAATGTCCATTCAATCATTTGTCCCCTCACGACCTCAATTCCTTGATTATACAAAGCATCTGTTCTCTAGTTGATGTATATACTTAAAAGGCAATGAATGAAATAAGAAAAAAAAGTATGATCCTAAAGATCAACACATTGATATATTGAGTTCCTAAAAAACTTATTTTAAATATATTTTGTGCATTACTCTCTTATATGTTGTTAATATTCTGTCTATTTTACAACATCATCAAATTCTCATTAGTTGATAAAATGAATCATCGATTGCATCTCGTGTAACCATTATCTTATTCTTTTTTTTAATTCTTTAATTTAGTGATGTTTTATATGACATAGAATAGAATGAAATGACTCTGGTATCAAATCTAATAATGTATCAAAATTTACAATTTGTAAAAGATTAGTTGTAACTATGACGCCCCAAAATCTGGGGGTCCTTTATCATCCCGTTGACCAACCATCAACCCTCAAAATTGCCCGTGAATATTGCATAACC